GTAAAATTTAGAGCTTTGGTTAATCTAATGATAACATTAACAGCAAGAAAACGTTAGCCATAGAGTGTTGGAAGATATTAAAGAGCAAATAACTGAAAAAGGATTTATATTCAGATAATTATAAAGAAATTATATAAATTAAGAAGAAAGTGATAAAAAAAATTGAGCAAAAGGCTTGACTATGGTCTTCAAAAAAAAAACACAAACAAATTGCAAATATACATAAAAAGGCTCCCAATCTCGTTAGTCATCATGAAAATGCGAACTACACAAATTGCAAATATACATAAAAAGGCTCCCAATCTCGTTAGTCATCATGAAAATGCGAACTGAAACCACAAGGAGCTACCTTTACATACTTACCAAAATGATTAAAATTAAGACTTAAAATATCAAGTGTTGGTGGAAATGTGAAGCAATTGAAACACTCATAAACCTCTGATGGGAGTATAAATTAGGACAACCACCGTGGAAAATCATTTGGGATTACCTACTAAAGCTGGCCTACCTATGATCTATCAGTGCCAAATATACCCATCTGTGTATACATGTTAACTGCAATAAATGTACAGAAATGCTTGTAGCAGAATGATTTGTAGTAGCATAATAGAGAAAAACTGGATATAACCTAAATATCATCAACATTGGAATGGCTAAATATATTGTGGTGTGTTCACACGCTGGAATGTTTCGACACCATAAAAATGAACACTACTGTAAAGCAGCATGAATGAATCCTACGCATATGAATGCTGAGTAAGAAAGAATCAGACACAAGGAGTACATACTATAAAGTTTTTTGTATAAAGTTCACAAAGAGGCAAAAGTAATCTATTGTGATAGAAGTAAAAATGGTAGATACCTCTGTGGTGCGCTGACTGAGAAAGGGCATGAGGGAGCCTTGTGGGGGTGAGTGTATTGCCCTGTTTCTTGATTTGTGTGGTGGTTAAAGAGGATGTCCACCTTGCAAAAATTATTAAGCTGTGCATTTCTGATTTTTGCACTTCACTGTGTGTGTGTTACACTTTGATAAACATACAGAAAGAAGTTTACAATGTAAAGAGGTAAAAATAAATTGAAAATATAAAAACTTGGAGAAACAATAGGAAAGTTCCTGATAAGCCATTCCAGTGCATCATTTTTCATATATGCATGCGCACACTCACACTCTTATCTACAGCCTTCACAAAAAAACCATCTGGGCCACTTACTTCGAGCCAAACCTCCTTCTCTTTCTCCAGGCTACCTTCTCGCTGCTCACTCCCTTCATCCTGAGGTTTATTTCCACTGATGACACAGGGAAACCAGCCAGTCAGGGGACGTGGCTTGGGTAAATCTGGATGGTCTGATGTGCAAATCTGAAATGCAATTTCAACCAAAAGTGATGTGTGTGTGAGACATAAGACAGTGAAACTCTTCAGCTCAAAACCAAAGTTTTTCTCTCTTTTTGAGTGCCCAATGATCACATGACTGTCAGAAAACTTTTCTCAGTGTAGAAGCATTTCTCCATACTCTCTCTCAGGCTCCGGATATAAGTTGCCAGAGTAGAAAGACCCACATAACAACTCTCAGCCCACTGTCAGCCCAGGGATCTTGCCCAGGAATAGTGCTAGCACGTTTCAGGCAACTGCTCCATAAACCATGGAAGTCTGTCCAGGATGTTGTCCAGGTCCTTCCCAAGCAGCACCAACTGGCCCCAAGAGTGAGGCTACTGAGTCAGGGGACCCCTGAGCATTCAGCTGGGTAAGGGAGCCTGAGAAGCAAAACTCCAGGAAATTTCTCCCACTTCACTTAGGGAAGACGAACAGGCTAAACTAAAAGCCACTTCAGAGAACTGTCACTAACCCAACAATCTCCCAACTTTCCTGGCTTCCTGTCATCCTCAGAGAAAGATGCCAGAATTAGGCAGAGAGAGTGTGGCAGAAACAGCTAGTTGCCCAACCATGTCTATTTCCTCTTTCTTATTAACACACTCCAATTTCATTCAGGGGGACAGTGTATCCAGTTATAAATGCTCGTCTCCTCAGGGTTCCTTACAATTAAGAGGGATGAAGTAGCCTGGATCTGATCAATAAGATGTAGGTGGACGTCTATAGCATTGAACTTCCAGAAAAGCTGCCATTTTCCCACTTAAAGACTCAGTTGGCATGCAGCTATTCTATCTCCCTTAGGCCTGCCCCCTTCATTCTACTTGAAATGCTGACTTCATGCCTAGGGGAGGCCCAGCCATGCTATGAGCAGGAGCAGGAAGGCTACAAGCCAAGATGGAAGAGCTGGAATCTAGAAGACCCAGGGCCTTGATGCGATCCTTGAACTGGAGCACCAGCCTTGGCTTGTTTCTCAACCTCTTCAGAGATGTCTCCTCAAGTCCAAAATCCAATTTATTCCATCCTGACCTAAAATACCTATAGGGCTAAAATCTCATTTCTGTAAAAGAAGTGTCCGCTGTTAGGATGAATGGCAGAGTTTATTTGGCAGTGGAAGCATCTGGAATGGTACCTGAGAACCAAGAACCCATGATCTTCTTTTCACTATTCAACTATAATTCATAGATGTCACTGGTATAGCATCGTAGAGTCCTCAGAGGATCTCCTATTTAGGTGAATATTCAGGGAAAATTATATACCTAAAGATTTGCTTTTAGTACTAAGTCTAGAATTCCTTCAATAATAATAACTCTTTGAATCAAATTATATTTTGATTTTTAATATATATTTTAAATGTCTTTGATCCTTAATAAACCATTGAATTAAATGCAAAAGATATTACTATACCCATTTTATATACAAAAAATCGGGGCCAGAGAGGTTAAGTGACTTGTCCAATGTCACATAATAATAATAGGAATACTGGTGGATCCAGTAATGTAACCCAGGCCTTCTGACTCCTTACTACTTCTTTTTCTTCTTTTAAAATAAATTCTACTAAACACAGAGCCCAAGTGTAATGTAACTTCTACGTGCACACATAGGTTAGGTTTTAAGAAGCTTGTATATACCTTCGAGTAAGCTACTGCATAGTCAAAAGTTCCCAGAAAAAAACTGGTGAGGTAAGTGTGGGGGGCAGGATTTTATTGCTAATCTAGCAGCTTTTTGTTTAACATTATCTTGTTCTGAGATCAGTAGGACAAAATCTGATGTCAAAGTCTGGAGTAAAATGTAAGTTCCCATTAAGCATCTGGGGGAGTCACTTCACGATTTTGCTCTGCCTTGACTCTGTTCATCTGGCTTAACTTACCATGGAATGAGGTTCTCCAGTTACCAAGGAAACAGGACACATCTTCTTGTCTTCATGGGAGGAGTAAGCTTGGGTAGCCCACAGATCCAAGTATCCTTTGGGAGTATAGAGACCACAGTCTATGGTGCTGGTTTCCTTCTCAAAAGGCTCACATATCCCATCTCCCTCGAACATGTAGCAAAGGCTTGGCTCCCCTGCCAAGAAACATTGTATGAACTGAAAGAATGTTTTCATATATGTCACAGAAAAAAAATTAACATGGGAGTGTTCACAACATTCCTTCTCCAGCCCACTAGAGAGAATTCAGTAATTGTCCAGCCCAAACATGGACACACACACACACACACACACACACACACACACACACACACACAGGAGGTAATTCCTTTTGTTTTATTCTGTTTTTCTATTTATAACCCAATGACTGCTTCTTTTCCTTCTCTCTCTATTTTTTCTTATCCTGGACTTAAAATTTTTTGTCTGTGATTCTTTTCAATCTATCTGAAAATAACAGACTACAATACTTTAAAAATACATTTCACAATGGTTCCTTCAAACCTAATCTCCTGAGAAATTATGATATAGAACTATGTGCTTAGCACACAATAAACTTATTACTCCCTGAAAAAGATGTCTAATAGTAGAATATATCATTTTAACTTTACCCTGTCAATAATTTAAGTATAGTCTTAAATATGGCATTTGAATATAGTTAAAGTAATTTAGATATAGTCTTACTGGAGTTGGAGGGGAAGGAAATATTAGCCAAACTTTATGGGATCAAATGCGATAGAAATAAAGTAAGGTCTGCTCTTAAGTTAAATGAGTCTTGAGTTACACTGGGGAAGGCACAGTGTTTGCAGAGTATATACTTATATTCAATACAAGACCACTATGTGGCTACCAAAAAGAAATGTTGCAAACAGAGGTGGCATTAGCAAATACTTGCATACAAAAGAGGAAGGTAATCGGTGCAGTGTATTCTGCACAGCCAGACCACATCTGGAGTGTTGGATTCCTTTCTGGGCATTGACCACACAAAGCATGCCAGACTGGGGTAAATAGGAAAGGATCTGGAAACCCAATCACATGAGGGGATGTTTGGATTGGAAAAGAGAATAATGGGGAGGCATTTCAAATGTCTGAATGGTAGTCAAATTACACAGGAAAAAAAATGGATCCCCTGTAGTTTCACAGCAAGGAAAATGTACTTGATTAAACGTAAGGGAAGCTGAGCTCCAAGGCTGGCTCTGCAAAGGCCTTGATGGATGAGTCACTGAAATGTTCTGAACCTCAGTTTCCAAACCGGAAAAAGGGAGAAGAATTTTACAACAGATAAGGCCATTCTTAGCAGAATTGTCTGTTTCAAGGTGCATTCTTCACTGGCAGAACCAGTGGAAATAACATGCATCTAAAAACTTGTTAATGGTGGTTTTAATCAGAATTGGGAGAAGTGTTGAAGACTGCTTCCCTGAGTGGCAAGGATCTAGAGTCAAAGTCACCTAGTTATAATTTGTTACCAGTGATTCTCCAGGACTAGAACAATGTTATGGCCCTCTGTCATCCTTCATGATCTTATTTGTTAAACACAGCCACCAAGAGGTATCTTGCACTCCCTTTGACTTAGAATGTTTCCTTACACTGATTTGGATATAGAGTCTGTATGATTGTGCTAATTATCTGACATTTTGGTGTTACTCATGAGGACTCAAGAAAAATCTTTAGTAACAAACATTAAACTAGAAAGCAGTAAAACCTAATGAATGGTTTAGCATGTCAATTCTAGAGCCATACTTCCTTGGCTCAATTCCTGACTTTACCACTTCTAGCTGATTAAGCAAAAGCAAGTTATTTAAGCTCTCTGTGCCTCAGTTTTAGTTTCCTCATAGTTATTATAAGGATTAAAAGAGATAATATACATGAAAAAATTAGTGCCTGGCACACAATGGCCACATCAAATGTTACTGTTCCTATTATTATCACTAAGCTAGATGTTACAGGATATCAAGAACTCACAAAGAGAATACACTGAGACACCTCCAAAAATAAGGCATAATCCCAGGCAGGAACTTCTCAACTCACCCACACAGTTGAACCCTTCCTCTAGTTCACACGCTCTTGAGCAGCCATCTCCACTCAAAAGGTCTCCATCATCACACTCTTCTCCCAGGCTCCTAGAAAGTAAAAATATACATATATACATGCACACATACATACATAAAATGATTTTTCTTGTTTAGCTAACATCATTTTAAATTCTTAAAATTCCTCATTGCATATTAAAAAGTGTAAGCTGGAGAAAAGTAGGAGCTACGAGAATGCTTTTACTGAAAAAAAAAATACAGACATTTAAAGTAGATGCAGTTTGAGCAATGATTGTTGATTGGCATGTCCAGTGGGTTGTGGGAATTCCTGGAAGTCAAGTAGCTCATGGCTTAGAAACATCTAGGCAATCCATGAGGGTCCTGACAGTGTTTCTGGTAGAGGGTCTTAAGCTTGGAAAAAGCTTACTAGTCCTGTAATAAATGATGTCTTATAGTTAGCTGATTTGGTGAGGAGAAAACCTGCCTATGTGTGGTTTTGTTTTCTACTCATTTTTATCTGATATTTCTTTGTGTTTTCATTGTTTTATTCTATCTAGATACAGTTGTTGTAAAAGTTAAGATTTTGCAGAATTGAATCTCCTGGGTATTTACTGGGAGACTTAAGCAGCCCCATTGCAGCTGACTCTCAGCCCAGGGCATCTCTAGAGCTCATATCCTGTCCTTACTCCCTACTACCACCTGGTGGCAGGCAATATATATTGCAGGGAAGAAACAAAGTGGGAGAAGAAAATGTCATTTTTGTTTTGAACCTCAAGTGCTGATATAACTGATGACTAAATTTAGGTAGAGGTAGGGGAGTTAGTTTATAGTGCAGGGAACATGAAGCATATTATGGGAACAAAATGGATATACTTGGGTTGAAGCTCCTACGAAAGAACCAAGATTTGACTATTGCAAAATGGATGACAGTTAGCATTTTTTCCCCATGACTTTTCAGCATGTTCAAAATGGACATATATTTTAACTCAGTAGATAAAGGGCTTCGTAATGCTAAAGTGTTTTCAGACCTAGGACATTACTAATAGTGCACTGTTTAAAGTATACCTCATGGGGATAGATTAAAGATTAAATAATTAGATATGAGAATGCTTTAAAGTGAATTAAAATATGCTATGATATAATAATATTTTAAACAGTAAGCTGGGAGTAGAGAAAAGATGAAAGAGATATAAAAAACAACATAATTGAAGAAAATTGGGAAACCTCAAATTCTTTTTTTACATAAACGCAATGTGGTTCAATGAAAAGACACTTCTCTGGGGACTAATAAATATAAGAAATTCAGGAAATCTGCAAATACTGCATACCTCAGTTTACTCATCTATGGAGAGAAGATTAACCTACATCAGTGTTTTGCTACATGGGTACCAGGACACAATCTCAGAAGTTGGCAATTTTATATTTTCATCTTGAAGATAATCTAAACAACTAGTATAAGCGTATCATGTATCATGTTGTGCAGTGCTGCCCAACAGAAATATGATGAGAGCCACATGTACAATTTTTAATTTTCTAGCAGTCAATAAAAAAGTAAAAAGAAACAGATAAAATTAGTTTTTTTAATAATAAACTTCACCTAACCCAACATATCCAAAATACAATCATTTCAACCTATAATTAGTATAAAATTATTAATGAAATATTTTACATTATTTTTTGCATACTAAGCCTTGGAAATCTAGTGTATATTTTTCACTTATGACATCTCGATTCAAATACTTGATCTGTACTTAGATTTCAAAAAAATTATAATTGAAAAAGTAGTTCACTAACTCAAGTTGTTTCAAATATACTTAAAGATTTTCCAATAACTGAATTGAGTTTCAGTTTTTGAACTAAATTTAAATTAAATTAAATTAAATATTCAGTTTTTTAGTTGCATTTGCCACATTCAAAGGTTCAAGAGCCACACGTGTCTGGGTGGCTCCCATATTAGACAGCACAAATTGAGATGATCAACTTCTGAATAAATACTGCTCACAATTTCAGGGCCCTCCACTGTGTTTCTTTTGATAGACTTATTGACAAGTGATGCCCACATGGATTAAATAATTTGCATGGCTCATTCTTGTTTTGTGTATAACAGAGACATCTTCCCATTGGATGGCAGCACTAATTACTCTGCACAGAGAAGAAATACAAGTTTAAAAGAATATTTTGATAAGGAACCTTTTTAGACCCAGTAGCCAAGCATTGCTGCTTTAGGTGAAGCTGTTTCACGGCACAGGACAGAATGTGTAATACCAAGGAAGGGAGAGGGTCCTTCACCCCTTTCTGCCCCCTCCCCCCCTGGCCGATGTGACATGCTGGGGCCCTGGGATGGCCACCACAAGATAACTATCTTAGAAAACACTATGACATAGGGCAGAGTATTGTGTTCAGGGAAGGCTCTGCCAGTGTAGCAATGGTAACCCAGCCCCCCAAACACCTTGACTGGTGGACTGCAGACTTAAAAGGAAGCAACCAGAACAGGGAAAACAGCAACAGCAGCAACAATCAGACTTGTTCTGTACACACGGGAGGCAACCCCAGGGAGAAGTTTGATTTGAGATGGGGAAGGGAGGTAGCAGGCCGAGGCTGAGTTAGGCAGGAGGGGGAAGCAAACTAGCGAGATTTGGGTATGAAAGTGACCTCAATCGCTTCGGTGTATCTCGGTGTATCAATGAAGTCTGGGAACATGTAGTGTTTATACTTCTGTGAAAAGCTTACACTATAGCTTAAGGATCTTACATGACTGAGAAGATAAACAATGTTTACCGACTTCTAAACAATCAGATGGGATCCCAAGAAAGGCTACAAAATTGATTCCCATTAGGGTTTCAAGGTACAATATATTTTCACCTGGTCTGGGAAATCAAAAATAGGCCACCTTACTAGGAGGCAGAATCTAAGACAAATCACAGTGCCTGGCCTTCCAGACTCCTACTCCCAACAGCTTTGTATGAGCAACAAATTAGGTTAGATGAGCATTAAGGGTAGGTTGATGTAGGGTGACCAACTGTCCTGGTTTTCCTGGTACTTGGCATTTTTTGGTGCTAAAATTAGGAAAATCCCAGGCAAACCAGAATGAATGTTTCCTCAGTTGATATCACAAAAGGGCAACATGAAAAGGAACATGATATGTTAAGAAACCAGACTGATTCCATCTTTACCCTGGTGATACTTACAGAATAGCTACAAATTACATTGTAATCAGTTCTTCCAGGGGTGAAATTAGCAACTGAAGCTCAGAAAGCTATACTGACTTTCCTCCGGTCACGCAGCTAGTTAGTAGTATAGGACAGGCCATTGGTGCAAAAGATGTCCTCTTTCAGCATCGTCTGATGAGTAGCCCTCTGCTGCATAAATTCCTCCCCCGAATCACTGCACAGCCTTAAGAGGAAGCCCAAAGAATCAGTCCCACTACTGCGATACTCTGGGGTGAGCTCTGAATAAAGTAAGTCCCTCGGTAACTACGCAGAGATGTCAGTGAACTCTGAAGGTCAGGAGCATGTCCCAAATTTAGTCATTTCAGCACTAGAATCACATAGTGCCCTGCCCCCTACATTTACAAAACAAATCAAACTTCAACTGGAAGCTGCACCTCCTGGTCAGAGCAGGACAGTGTCCTTGAGCACACATTCCCACACGTGCGGTACTCACCCTGCCACCTTCCCATCTCCACAGTAGGGAGCTCCGTGGACGTGGTTCAGAGGAGGTGAAGCTTCACCCAGTTCTGCTCCAGCTTCAGCTTGAACTTGGTACCGATACATCTGCCCAGGTGTGACCTCCCTGTGGAAACCAGTGGGCCGTGACCACTACATCCACAAAGTGAGATATACCCTGGGCCCTTTGTAGTAGTTCGCAGGAGTTTAAGGGAAATATCACAGGGAACATAAATGTTAAACATATGCCGCATAGTCCGAAACAGGGACGAGGGCATGTAATCTATAGAGCAACAGAATGTTTGAAGCGTATTCATTTCGGTATTCCCTGAATGTTCCAAACAGTAGACATTAGCTTGTGAGCTGACACTGAATTTAATGGTCCTAGACAATCTAGGAGGATGGTATTTTAAGTACACTTTTACCGTGTTAAAAAAACAAACACAAAAAACAATTATTGAAAAACCAGTCTATTTTCAAAATAATCAAAAAAACTGGGAATGAAAGCTTGAGAGTTTGGGCTCAGCAAAGCCCTTCTTAGTTCTGTGGGTCACAGTGTTCTTATCTCTCCAGAGAATTCTTGTCTTGAGGAGACTGAAAACTTAGGGGTAAGAGCAACTCTGTCACAGAAAGAGGTAAGAACACTTTCACCACTTTGGAAATGCAAGAAATTCCACAATTAGAAATGCATTAAATTACTCCCCACCTCCAAAACTGTTAAAATGCATATATCTCAGGAATAGAGTTGTGTCCATTGATGCCAGAGATGAGGGGTGCTTATCTGGCTGTCTCTCAAGCCCACGTGCACTGATCAGTTGAAGGGGAGAGGGCCCACCAAGTGAAGCTGCTGGTTCCAAAGAAGTTCTGCCCTCATCTTAATTTTGTCTGGTATCTGCCCTAATAGGACAACTACCACCAAAGTCAAGCTGAGATGGGAGTTACTTAGGAGGACAGACCTTCAAAGGGTTGCTGGGGCTGCCGTGAGTTGCCACCAGAAATCTCCTGCCAACACCCTCCCTTTTTCACCTCGACCACAAAGCCTCCATTGCCTCACCTGATGCAACAGCCAGCAAGCAGGAAATGTCTTGGGGTTTCAAAAACACCTTGAAAAACCTCTGTACTGGCTTTTATGTACTTTACCAGGAAAGATACCTAAATATTAAAGACTTTTGAATTCTAAATTAGCTTTCCTTTTTATAGAAGCAACCCTCTCATGAGAGTGCCAGATATTTCTAAAGCAAAACCAATTTTATATCCTAATCAATGCTGATGGTTTCCCTTTACAGCAGGGTTTCTGTCGAACTTCCTATCCAGCCATGCATAAAAGTCTTACACTGTTCCGTGGCTGGGAAAAGACCGGCGGGTAACGTCAGCCCGTGTTTACTCTTTTTGGGGGGAACTCAGCAGCAGGTAGCCCCAGCTTTCAATGATCTGAGCTTATAAAAGGCAGGGTGTTACTGAGGAAAGAGGGTCAAAATGAGATTCGGTCAGAAAGTTGGATTTTAATCCTGAGTATGCCATTTATTTACTAGCTATTCAACCAAATTAAAGTTAAGCCTCAGTTTTCTCATCTATAAAATGGGATATTGTTGGCCTTAAACTTTGTTTGTGTGTGTCCGTGTGTGTCTATCAAGTTAGATAACAAATGTCATTTAACCACCTTATGAGAGAAACTCAAAAATAATATTTTTCCTTTTTAAAGCCTTCCCCCATTAGCTTTTCAACCATTTCACTGTCTTCTAGTTCTAATTAAGAGAGCAAATATGGGAAGAAAAATGTAAAGAAGCTCAAGGTGGACACTATTCTCTGCTTTTTGTGTAGCTGCGGCAGACTGCCAAATGGCTACCCCATCCAAGATGCACCCCCCTGCAATGCGATTTTGTCCCTCTTCCATCAGAAGGGAGAGTTTATTTCACCATCCCTTGAACTGGGAATTGGCTGCATGACTTGCTTTGCTAGAGGAACATTATGATGACTCACATAAAGCAGAGAGTTGAAAAGAGCAAGCATCAGGGCTTGCCCTCCCTGCTGTGGAAACCCTTCCCCCACTGCGAGAAGCAGCCCAGGCCCAGTCTTGAGAGACCATGAGGAAGGAGGCCCTCATCTTCCCTTCCATGCCAGCTGTCTCAGCTGAGGCCTCCAATATGTGCATGAGGTCACCCCGGGCCATCTAAATCCAGCCAAGTCAGTCCAGAGGAGAACACCCAGCCCACCCATGGAATCGTGAGAAATACATGTGCTGTTGAAATCCACTGCATCTCGTGATGATTTGCACTGCAGCACTACCTAACTGACACAGCATCTCGGGTAAAACTTAGCTTTAGCCTAGTCCCACCCTCTCGGCAGTCTCCGAGGAGAATTCTGAGGTGGACAGAACTTGCCTTTGGAGATACCAGCCTCCTTCTCTAGACACTGAATTCTCTGTAGGTCATGACCTTGTCTTAGTCCGTGTCCACAGCACTGGGCACAAAGGGCCAGGAACATGGTAGAACTCACCAAATTTAGAAAGAATAAACAGAAGCAAGAGAAAGAGGGGAGTTGGAAGAGAAAGAAAGGAGGGAGGGGAATGAGAAGAGAAAAGAGGGAAAGAATGAAACGCAAGTCATGAATGAGTCACGAGACGGGGCAGTACGTGGAGGGACCGGCCTCTCTGCTCAGCGAGTGGAGAGGTGACTAACTTTTGAACGTTACAGGAGCTGTGGCAGATGATCAGAAAGCCACTGCCAGGAATCAGAAATGAAACTGTCACTAGACAGGAGCATCTGATCCTGACCAACCCGTCTTTTCTCCATAATCACAGTGACAGCATCAGCAATCAGAACACCTCCTTGCCCTTTCTGGGACACCTCTTTCTTCATCTCAGGCTATTTTAGAATAAAATCCCCTCTGAGATTTTAAACATATCTCCAACTAAGAGCATGTCAGAACGTAAAAAAGTGGGGAAAGTAGAAACAAAATCCACCCCTAGAGCCCCTAGAGCCTGGAAGCCCCACTCACACGTCCGTGAACTTCCGGTGCGGGTGTGTCACCACCGCGGGCAAGCCACTGGAGAACGGGGGCTCGCGGAGCACCCGGTACCTCACGGGCCTGCAGCCAGAGCACAAGGGACTGTGGGGCTGGGACGTCAGCAGCGCCGCGTCGATCTCCATCCGCTCGTCGAAGGTGTAGACTTTCACCCCCGTGACCTTCCCATCCACGTGCAGTTTGACAGTGAGTGGGGTGTCACAGAAAGTGTCTAAGGGGCCCAGGTGCACAGACTCCTGGTGTTCCAGCAAGATCTCCGTGTCAAAGAGAGCCCTGGGGGAGTCCATGGCGAGGTACGTGATCCATAGGGTGAGGGTGTCGGCCAGGACCGGGTGGCGGAAGAGCAGCTCCAGGCTACAGCCTTCCGCGGGGCAGGGGACCGTCATGTTCATGTGGTGCAGGTGCAGCTCGGGACTCCAGGCCTGCAAGCTGGGCTCGCAGGGCCGATCCACGTCAGGAGGCCCTGGGGGGGAGGGGGGGGGAGAAAGATCCATCAGTAAGTGCCCTTAAAAATCTGAACATGAGCGCCCATATGGGTGGCCACAAAGAGGACACTTGGAATTCCTGCAGAAGTTGGTCGGCTTAGTGGGTTAGATTTTAAGTACTAATGAGGACAAAGGTGTAAAAGTAAAAAGCGTGATGCTTTTGTTACCCTATCAGCTGTACAGGGTGCCCTTTAATAAGAGAAACCCGGCAGGGAACTGGGAATGGAGAAACCCAGATCCTGGGTGGAAACATGAGGCTGATGCAGGGAAGTTAAATCATGTCCTGAAAGAATCCTTGAGCAGGGCGGAATTACATGCACTTAGTTTATTAATAATTTATGATAAAGGAATGCTTCTGAAGCCCAGTGTTCATTTCAGTCTGTCACTGCACTCTGTAGTTTTCCTCACAAAACTTCTTTCATTCCCTAAGATCCCACATTGGCAATCCTTTGAATGGACTGTTGGCCAAGCTGTGAAACCATACACTGGAATCTCCCTTACAGTTCAGGCACATGTGAAGTGAGCATGCAGGTAACCGTGTGGGGGAAACTGCAGGCAGGAAATGTAAACACGTATTATTGAGTGGGAGAAAATGGAGATTCAGTAGCTGACTAAAAACATAATGGTGAAAAATCAAGTATCACAAATATATTAAGGTCAGCTCTATGGAAAGAATCCATTCAAGGTGGTTTTATTTTATATTGGATGAGGGAATCAAAGAGAAAGTGCTGAATTAGGGATCAGCAGGGTTAGGCTCTAACCATCATTGTGCCATTAGCTGTGTGACTATGGCAGGTCTAAGCTTCAATTTCCTCATTTATAAAATAAGTAATAATATTTAACCCCTGCATTGCTAAGCTAGTATAGTATAGAAATTGTCTCTGCATTTGAAAAGGTAGAATTATTGAGCCCTTCAGAATTTTGAAAATAGAGAATGTCTCAAACCCCAGAGGAAACAAATTCAAATGGGGGGTGGAGAGGATGTTACATTTTATCATCCTTATTGTTTTATTGTTTTTTGCCAACTATGTGTGTTGATTCATTCATTCATTCATTCAGCAAAAATTGAGTGTGTGCCTCTTTTATACCCAGCACTAATCTAGTTATTGGAGAGAAAGTGGCCAACAACAGAGATGAAGGTCGTGCCTTCATATACTTTGCAATAAATAGATAATGAAACATAAATTATGATTTCAAGTAGTAGTGGCATCTTTGGAAAAAAAGTAAGGAATACAAGAAAACAGAATTATGAGGTGGGTCTGGGAGCTATTTTAGATTATGGAGTCAGAGAAGTTCTCTCCAAGAGGCTGATAATTAAGCAGAGAATATGTCTGGTTCAATTTTCTATTCCCCATAGCATGTAGAAAGTAGATGGTGTCAATGAGGGTTCATTAAGTGTCATTAATTACATTTTGATCATATCCATAAATTCATATATTTGTGTCTATTCTGTTATGGATTCAATTACTTTTATGGCATGTATTTTAAATATGATCTGGTCCTTCATCCTTTCAAAGCAAAGAAAGAACAATATTTCTTAGCAGTATTTTCCAATGCTTATCCCAAAATATTAGCAAAGTAAAGTCCATTGGAAGCCAACCCAACAGCAGCACGGCCTGTCAGAAAGTTTTTATGATGACCTCATGTTAAAATATGAAGTGAAGGCCCTAGCAGTTGACTTGGTTTGCCTCAAGACACGACACAGAAATTAGAACCCAAAACTTCTAATTCTCTTCTCCTCTACAAAATAACTAAATTTTTCCATGAATTGAAAAGACAAAAGTACAGGGCCAGGGAGTTAAAGTGGCATTAAAACACCAGCACAGAACAAACTGTTTGCCACAGAAAGGGCCTTTTATAAAAATGCCAATCTCTAAATGAGTCCAATGCAGTAAATTTTATATTCACTTTCCATTCTTCCCTGAAAACTCTCATTTTAAAAAAGTCATATACAATAAGTCAATTCAGTCATCTCTCTCCAGATTTCTCCTCAAGGTCCTGTCACTTGAGTAACTGACAGCCCAAGATGACATCTTACAGATCCTATAGACTCTTAGACCAAAGTCCTCCTTTTTTTCTTGTCACATCTAAAACTGCAAATTAATTCAAATAGGATTGTGACCAACACATCTTACTGAGTAGCTTTTAGGATCTTAATAATTACAAGAGACAAAAAAAAAAAAAACCCAAAGAAAAAAGATGATGATGAAGTAAACATTAAAGATGATAATGATGGAAGAAGGCAAACCAGTTGTCAGGAGGAGCTGTAAAGTCATGTCAACAGCATTTTCTGGAATTGAACTGGGGAGAGATTCATGCTGTAATTTGTCTTAAGGGCACTGATATACATATGTGAGTGAGTATGTGGCTGTTTGTGAAATTGGGGGAGGGACAGGAAAAGAGACATCAGAAAACACTTTCCTCCTCCAAGAGCCTAGCTTAGATCATATCCAAAGCACAACTAGCATCAGTGACTAATAGACTCATAAAATAGCATAGATGAGAACGATCAGTGTGGAACACCTAGTCCACCTCACCCTACCCAGACTCACTAGCCAGTGCAGGAGTGTTCCCTGCACTGTGTTCTCTGTCACTCTCCTGATATACAGGAGTAAGAGATCAGCTTACACTGTCACGTGGCAAAGCTGCTCCTTGGGCTGGTAGGCACATGTGCCAGCCGTCTCACCCTGAAGTTGCCCCCTGAGTCTAACTGACTTCTCCACCCCTCTGTACTATATGCTGATCTCTGCTTCACCACAGCCACTGGGCCCCCACATTAAGCATGTATGGGACATTTGCCACACAGGGGCACCAGGCAGTCTTTTCAAAGCCCTTGGAAATTTCTAGCAAACTATGCACTCTCACACACACATACACACTGCCTTTCCTTTTTCTCACCATGCTACTGCTCCATGCTTTACATCCACCCCCGTTCAGTGGCCATAGTGAATTTAAAAGCCATGGTACTTTACCCACAGCCTCTTCTGGGGTCCAGTAACCTGAGGAGTCACACACCCGCCGGGAGGAAGCTGTGTGCACATACTGACGGAATGTCCCATCTTCAGTGCAGGCTCCACACACACTGCCCGGGACCCTAGGAAGACCAAGGGACAGAGATGGGAAGAGTGCATTAGATGAACTGGGATAAGCAATTAGGAAGAACTTGGGGGAAGGGCAATGATTGTTAGTAAGGCCCTAGAGGGTAAATGGAAATGCAGCTGTTTCTCAACTCGTTTCCTTTGTGTGTAGATCTCATCTTTGCCAAATTCATAGTGACATGAAAATCTCAAAGTCACAAAGCAGAAAAATTTAACTAAGTCATAAAGGAAGCCTGTGGAGATGAAAGTGAGCAGCTTTTGCACTAGGAGTATTAAACACAAAGCAATTACAATCTGAATCTTTCAACATAAAACTTCTTTCTATAGTGACTCTCAGCCATTCCAAGGTCCCTTGCATTTCCCCCACTAGAGCAAAGATTCTCAGAATAAACTTATTAGCTCTATGAGTTCTTATCATATACATAAAAGTCATATGAAATGTAATGTCCATTGGTCCACTGGCTCTCCATCGCCTATGTATCTGGATTCCCTACCATGACCCAAGGTCCTTTACGAGCTAGCTCCAACCTCATCTACTGCAGTTCCTTCATGAATTTTATATTCTCATCACAATGAACGTGTCACTATTTCACATACACCTCGTGCCCTTCACACAGCTCCATGAAACACGCAGTTCTCTCTGCTGCCAATAAGACTTTCCAAGTTTTTCTGTTTAGCAAACTCTTACTCATACTTCAAAACCCATTCAAACATACCCTCTGCAGTGGCACTTCGCCTGCCTCCTTTGAATGGCCAGCACGCCCTCCTCCGTGCATCCACCACACCTGCTCGCTCCTCTCTCAGGGCACTGCTATGTGGTAGTGAGAATTTCCATTCACACTGTTTCCTCTCCTTGACTGTGGCAGGTCCAGATCAAGCTCTTTTCTTCTCTCTATCCCCAACAGGTAGTACAGGGACTGGGCTCAGCAGTCCCTTGTGAATGCTTATTTTATGGATGCCCAAGAGAAGATTAGTACAGTCTATGAAGAGCTCTACAAGCACCATATTTGAAGTAACCCAAAGAGGTAGAGATAAGAATAGCTAAATAACAAGGGGATTTCACTTTTATGAGGCTTGCCCCTGATACATAGAATCTTTTTAGAGCCCGATTAGGAATGACAAATCTGAAGATGGAGGTATCAAATCAGTGTCTCTCCAAAGTAGGGGGAGAAGAGTAATATCTTGGACTATGCTAGAAAAATGGTATTGTTAAATAATATAGTAAGTATGATAGCAGCTCCCATTTATTAAGCACCTCACATACCTGGCACTGTGCTACTATGTGCTTTTCATAAGTTATCTCTAATCACTGTAATATCCCTATGTTTACAAATGAGGAAACTCAGGCTCAGAGAGGTTAAGTAAATTGCCTAAGGTCACAAGTTCTTTACTTCCTTTAAGCAAGTTCCCAAACACCATGTAGTGTCCAGTACTTCAGCAACTAAAAGGTGTAGTTAAGATCCAAACCCTGGGTCCCATCAGCACTCACTCCTAATGCGGACACCACTCCAAACCACGTTTCCCTGATGCACTTGGCCCTGCTGGGACTGCTGCTGAGTGCGTAGCTGGGGCTCCTCTCTGACATAAGGACTCCAAATACCTACTGAGGTGGAGTAAACATAACTGCAAGCATGACACAAATCACTGGGTATGTGACGTGAGTCCCCCTGACACACATGTCGGGAGGCCTCAAAACTGTAGCCCACCTAGCTGAGGAGAAGAAGCAAATTGCAGCCTTTTCTGCCAACAGACTCTCAGCAAGCCAGTACTGATGTCTACTTTATCGTAACATTTGTACCCGAGAGAGAATTGAAAGATTAAATTGTTTATATGTGTTACATAAACTGATGTAAAACTCCGGTTTGCACATACCCACAGAGGACTTACTGTTCAGCCAGTCCGACAGAAGCTGCACAAGGTCACATTTGCAGGAAGATGATCCTTACACATATCACATAGATGTGTGTTGACTCGCAAATGGAGCCTGTCAGAGCTTGGGTGCCGATGACAATGAAAACTACTTTGCAGGGTTGTGAGGTCTAAGTGTTGTCATGCACTAAGTAAGCATCCAGGTATCAAGACAAGTTTCAAGGTCCCAGGAGGCTGGTAATACCACTTTGAAAAGGGATTCACTGGCTTTTCCCTGTTCTCTCTCCCCAGGCTTTCAGGAAACCTGAAGGGCATGGAAATGCATACTCCTGGGACATCTAGCTCCTTAGCTGGGGCCTGACACTCAGAGGAGTGTGACATAAGGAAAAGGAACAAGCTACCTGCTAAAAAGGAAAGCTTTAAATTCAAAGAAATCACTTATTCTGTGTCCCTCACTAGTGGATTTCCAGTGGATTCCCCCAATTCACCTCTATTTAGTTGTGGGGTCTTAGGCTAACCACCATATGTAAAAGTATGCCTCCGATTTCTCATATAGCAGGAGTTATACTTACTGCAAAGACTAAATAAGATGAGTTTGGGTAAAATACCTAGCACAGTGCTTCACACATAACAGGACCAAATAGACGACAGCCACTCTTGTTATTTAGAATACGGCAGTGGGCAGGTTTTGAAAGAGGCCGGTCTGCACAGGTCACTGATGGGATTTTGGTTCTTCTCGGTTAAACCACATTACCCCATCCACCACCAACTGTCAGATGTCATTCTTTTTTCTACCTTTCTCTCCTTTTTATAAAAATTTCCCTGACATTTGTTTACACCAATATGCAAAGGATGAAAGAAAGGTGGTTTTAAGTATTGTGCTTGTCTTCAATAAACACGTGTTGGGTGTCTATTGAGGCAGACCAAGAGACAAAGACAAAAAATAGTCCTGCTGTCCCCTGCACCTGGGTGGCTGTGAGTCGAATGGGGCAGATAGAAAAATGAACAGACAGTGACAATTCCATCAGATAGTGGCCATAACAGGGGGAGGCACAGGGTGCAACAAGAGAAATGCCCACATCACATAAGTCACTTGAGATCTTAATGCACACCTTGTACATTGGTGGCTTAGGTGACTTTCTTAGATACTGAGAAAGTAGATACTTAGCCCTGCTAAGGAAGCGACAACGGAGCAGGTGGGAGGAGGCAGCCCTGAGCAGCGGCTTCCTCTCGCTTCACATCCTTCCCCTTCTTAAAATGAAATGCCACAGAGAAAATGTCCCAGCTCACCCATAGCAGGCGCCCCTCTCACCTGTCATACACAACTCCACTGATTGGAGGCAGCCAGTGGATGGTGAGGGACTTGTGGGTCTGCCCGACAACCACGGGTGGGATGGGGATGGGGGTGGGCTTCCTGCTTTGACTCCATTGCTGATACACAAGGTCCAGATAGCAATGCATTCGGGCCACTTGGTTAGGGCTGAAGCTGTCAGTGCAGTCATCGTCTGCGGAGAAAAAAAGGGAGCACGAGAGGTGGAGGTTTTAACTCATAAAGCCTGCCAAGGCAGGGATAAATTCTGCCTTGTCCACAGCTGAGTTGCCAGTACTTAACCCAACATCTTGCATTTATTAGGCTCAATAAACACGTGTTGATTAAATGAATGAATGCATTCTGTTCCAGTAAAGAATCTAAGTTGAGGTGAGTAAGAGAAGGCAGAGACAGAGCACTTATCTCTGAAGCAAGGTCACTACCTTCATGTCAGGGTGGCCCAGGGTGAAACTCGCCCTGGAGTACAAGGCTGCTCCAAGTTGATGGCTGCTTAGTCAGCAAACCACAAGATGGCAGTGTTTCGGCAGATGGCCTTTTCACTTGTGAACGTGTGTGGAGTTGCAGACACCTGCTTTAATGCTTCGTGTTGCTGGCAAAGGCTTGTGAGTATTCAGTGGAGATGTTCAACGGGAGATAGAGCCAAAATATTTAAGGAGACAGCAGGGCTGGGCATGGTTGTCCCAGCCTTACTTTTGGAACTAGCAAAGTCTCCCTATTAGGTAACTTTTTCATAAGGTTGAAAAGGGAATTATCTTAATTTCAGGAACTTTTCCAATGAAAGTGCACCAGTCAAATACTACCCCAACCTACTTCTTAAGTGCTTCCTCCTCTCACCTCAAAGACGGTATCTAAAGAGCTCTGCCCTCTTCACCCCATTTTCTGGTATCTCTGCCCCTGGCAAGGGCCACCATCCCTGCTGGGGGAGGCAGAGGTGCTGGTGCATGTGAATGATTCACCACAGCAAAACCTGGACAGAAACATCTTGATAGGTCACAGATGGAATCAGCTCATCACTCTTTCTTTCTGTCAAAGACATGACCAGGGTCTGGTGGCTTATCCTTTTTGGGGTAGTTCTAGAAGAACTTATCACCAAACAAGCCCCTAGAACTTACAGGAAAATGATCTTCCTTCACCATTAGAGTAGGTAATCAAATCAAATCACTCCTTAATCATAAGGATAAATTTGAGTCCATTATTGGGACACTGATGAGTATTACTTTTTGCCAGAAATAAAGAAGGTGTGAGAGACAGGGAAGAAGGATAATGCAGAAGCTGAATTGAGGAAGGACAAGGCCAGACAGTACGGACATTCCCAGGGCCAAAAAGGCACCATTTGTAAAATGCAATGGCACCACTGTGGGGGGGGGGGGGGCCGGGGGGGGGGGGGGGGCCGGGGGCGGTGCTAGGCAGGCTAAGAAGCAGTACTTGGCTACTGTTGGAAGAAGAGAATCTGATCTATATATTTTTAAATAACATAAAATAAAAAGAAATCCTGGGATTAAATTAACCAAGCCACCTTGCTGACCAACTGCCAAAATTGTACAAAGAGCCACCTTCACCCAGAAACCTCTTTCCCCCATAACTACCGGACTCCTCTTCAGAGTAAACTCCTAAGAATGTGGGTGGGAACAAGAATAACCAAGTTCTAGAAGTCAAGGAGATCTGAAGAGGGCTTTTGGCTTTTTTTATCCTATCCAAAATAGAAGTGTGTTTTTCTTTTAAGTTCTTGTAGAAGAGAATTCAGTCAACAAGGCCACTTCATATTTCAGTATTTCACATTCTTCAAAGACATGAAAAAGGGATATCCTGTTAAAAGTACACTACAACCCTCTGACATGGATGATTGCTTCACTCCAGTTCCCATACCTCCACCCTCTGGGACCCCTAAAGGCCCCCGTGCAATCTTAACAGAAAACTGACACATCAGGACAGCTATGATACCTGTGTAGCTCATGTAGTTGTTGAATGGAGCCCCAGCGAAGGAGGTGAAGCCACAGGTGTCATTGGTAGGCTCTGGGTCCTGGCACAGCTTACTCTTGGGAGTGGGGGCAGTGTCGGCACAGAGGTCTCCTGTTTCCATGGACGGCACCGTCTCCCTGCAGGGGTCATCACAGGATTCTCTTTCACTGACACCTTTGAAGACGTGGTAGAGTCCCAGGACATGCCCCACTTCGTGAATCATGATGTTGGTGTGGCCAGGCATGCCATAGTAGGCTGGGTTGAGGACAACACCACCTGCAATAGAAGGTTTGCAGGACATCTCTGAGCACAGCATGAATAGCAGCCCTCCAATCCTTAATTCTGTCTTCTGACAAACATCAAATCTTCTATTTCAGCCTCTAAGAACAAACTTCATTACTTCTAGTGGCATCTGCTCATTGCTCTTCCCTCTTGCCACCAACACCCTCTGAACTAATCAATAAACATTTCTTTAACCCCTATCATGGGTGAGAGCTATCCTAGAGGCTGGGGATGTCAGTATGGACAAAACGACATGATAGAGGGGCGGAACTCTCAGTCCTGGCTGCACATTAAAATCACCTGGGGGAGTTTTTAAATATACAGAGGTTTAAATCCTACCCCAGATGAACTGAATCCAAATATTTGAGGATGGGGTGCATGTATCAGTATTTTTTCAAACTCCTCAGGTTGAGAGCCAGGGTCTAGGTGAAGGTACATGAGGTATAGAGCCAGGGAAAATTGGGTCTGACTCCTGGCCCGTCCACATGCCAGCTTTGAGGACTTTGACAGATATCTGACCTTCATGTATCAGTATTTTTTCAAACTCCTCAGGTTGAGAGCCAGGGTCTAGGTGAAAGTACATGAGATATAGAGCCAGGGAAATTTGGGTCTGACTCCTGGCCCGTCCACATGCCAGCTTTGAGGACTTTGACAGATATCTGACCTCTTAGAGCTCAGTTTGTTGTCTGTAAAGTGAGGATGATAGCACCAGCATTTGTTTAATCTTAAGCAGTTGGCACATTGTAGGAGTTTATTAAATGACAGCTGTGCATGTTGCTTCTGATTTCACAACCCCTCCTCTCAAGGAGCTAACATCAGTGAGACAAAAGACAAGTCCAACTGAACTATCACGAAATTCAGAATGTCACAGGTAACCCTCACTCCCCTAAAACCTCCATGAGAACACCAGTGGCGGTGTGTCAGAGAAGAGTTCATTGCACCCCATTGGGCTTAGATGAAAGACCTAGTCATATCATTTTAACCTTATGAAAGAAAAGCCTAAAGACCTCTGCATGCCCCACCTTCTGTCTGGGGTTCTAGCTTATTGAATTTCCAGGCCCTGTTTCTCTCCTCTCCCCATGTTTGAGCCACTTAACTTTCCTTATCTATCCCCCAAAACTGTCAGGATCAGGCCCAATACCATCTCTAGGACCTGAGACAGAGAATGTCAATAGCTTTGGATCAACCTTTGGGGTCCAGAGTCACTTTTGCCTGTGTTGCTAGGCTGGCCCTGCCCTCCTGTCCCAGTCTGATCCCAGTTTCAGGGACTTGCTTCATTCCTCACATTTGAGTCCTTCCTGTACCTATTGTCTTCTGAGTAAAGCAAGTCCTCCAGAAGAACAGCCCCACCTTTCTCTTGCGAGGTCATTTCCAAGGACCACATCCTATTCCTGAACTCTATACAATGCCCCTTTGACAACTCCACACATGGCTTTATGAGCAGGACACAATCAGAGGGAATCTGGTGCCACACTCACTTGTTTTTTCCAGTGGACAGTTCCACCTGCCTTTCTGGTGACTATCTTACTGCAAAGGGCAGTTTCTAAATCCATATTCTGGTCTCCCCCAGACTACTCAGACTGGCATTAACCAAGCCATGCCCAGCCTCATGCTAAGATACACGTGTCTACTTTCACATCTAAAATAGAACTAGAGCTTACCTCCTGTGTTTATCACTTCAACTACTTCTGATAAAAATTCTTACTCTCTAACATTGTGCCTTTTTCCTTTCTTCTTTCTTTTATAAGGTTATTTTATAGAAGTTCTTTCATTCGTGCGTCATTATCATTATGTCAACATAAGGTTAAGGTAACTTGAAAACCTCTATTTCAATAACATCTGGAGTGCCTGGTATTTGAATAAATCTGGTGAAATGCAGTATTTTCACTCTCCAAGATGCCTACTACTTCACGTTTACATATCCAAAAGCAGTTGTGGAGTATACTAACATTTATAAAGCACAAGTATTTCACAGGGCCTAGTTTCCAAAGCCCTGTAGTTTCAGGTTTAACCTAACTTTTTAAAATTACATATAGAAATGTTAAGCTTGCAAGACAGGAAACTTTCCCCAGGCTAAAGTCTCTGTTATGGATATAGAATTGTAACACAGCAAAGTTGCTGGCTCTCAAGGACAGACGACAGATGTCCTTGAGAGCAGGTTAACCTCCTCATTGATATGTTTAAAAAGTTGCTTTATTGTTATGTAAAAATACTGAGGAAACTGCTGTAGGAAAAGACAATATTTGGTAAGAACAAGTTTTTGTGGGTGGATAGACTTAACCTTTTGCAAATTGCATTATGGAATGTCACTTTGTTATTTCACTGATGT